TTATCAGAAGGCAATTTAATTTAACCATGGTTAGGATGTTAAAGGATCTAGTGGAAAAGATGGACAATTATTATTAATAGATGGGGAAATTTCAGTAGAAAGATGGAAACTATACAAGAAACAAGTGGAAATGCTAGGGGAAAAAAAGTGAGAGCAGAGATGAAGGATTCCTTCAGTAAATTTATCAGTATACTGGAAACTACAGAAAGAAGAATCAGCAGACTTGAAAAAAGGTCAGTAGGAATTACACAAACTAAACACAAAGAGTAAAAAGAAAAAAAAAAAGAACAGCTGTGGGATACTATCAAACTATCTAATGAGAAGAGCGTGAGAGATGGACAGAACAATATTTGAAGAGATGGTGGCCAAGAATGTTCCAAAATCAATGAAAGAAACAAACCAGAGATTCAAGGGTGTAAAAAGCCTGAACAGATCATTGTCAAATTTCTGAAAACCAGAGTTAATGAGAAAATCTTGAAGGCAGCAGAGTGAGAAACGTATTACATACAGATCTAGCACCACGGCCTGGTAAAACAATCCTTGTCTGACTGAGCCAAGCAGGAGCTGTGACTGGCAATTTGACCTGCTGCTGGGTTTGTCATTCTTGTCCTTGTTCTATGAAAACATAAAACCTCATGTGAACTAGTCCTAGTATCCCAGAGTCTGGAGCTTCTCCAGGCTTCTGTCCCTTAATGATGTTGCTGTCGTGTAAATAGCAGTGTACTGGCTTTCAAAAATGAAAGGAAGGGTTTTCTTAGCCCAAGATTTGTTGGTTCCAGAATGTGGGTGGAAAATTAGGCCCTGATTCTATAAGTGGGGTGTATACAGTTCTTTCTAGGACTCTGGTTCATGGCTCCATACGTCAGAGTTATGGCTCTTCCTCTTGTTTCTTTTGATTACACAGGAGGTGTCAGTGTACATGGTCATGCACTAGAGGGCAGTATGGGCGTTCACCTTTTTTAAAAATGGTACTGAACCAGATTTCCAGCACAAGTGCATTTGTGCATTAGGGGAAAAAGAAATGAATGAATTCTAAAACAACCAAAATTTCATTTATTTTCATATTACCATCTTATTTTTGCTGTGGTTGGAACATAATGAATATTTTCCATAAATGCATATTAATAAGAGAAAAAAGAAAGCAAATTTAAGACAAAAAACGTTACTAGAGACAGAGGACATTTTATAATGCTAAAAGGATCAATCCATCAATAAGATATAACAATTACGTATATGGATGCACTAACAACAGAGCTCCAAAATACATAAACCAAAACCAGACAGAATTGAAGGGAGAAATAGGCAATTCAATAAAAATAGTTGGATACTTCAATACCCTACTTTCACTAGTGGATAGAACAGCTAAGCAGAAGATCAACATGAAAATAGAAGGCTTGAAAACACCACACAAACTAGACCTAGCAGATATCTGTAGAACACTGCACCTTGCCCACAGCAGCAGAGTACACATTCTTCTCAAGTGCACATGAAACATTCTCCAGGATAGATAACATGTTTGGCCATAAAACAAGTCTCAATACATTTTAAAGAATTGAAAATGCACACAACAGAGACTCCCTGATGGAGCAGGAGAAAAGTAGGGTGCAGAACTCAAATTGTAGTAAAAAGACCAGACTTAATGGCTGAGCTGGAGATTCAAGTCCACCTACTTCAGAAGAAAGATCTGGTAAACTACTTCCAAAAAATCAGCCACTGAAAACCTTCTGGAGCACAGTTCTACTCTGACAAACATGGGGTCAATGTGAGTCAAAACTGACTCGACAGTACTGATATTAATTGGGGTGGGGTACTGGACTCAGACCCCATATTCTCAGAGCACAGAACAAGTTCTTCCTCAATACTTCAGTAGAGTGTGGTATTCTATGCTAATCCACACAAATAAAGGGGAAACTGGCAGGTTATGGAGGTATTAGAGTTTAGATAAACTCAGCTTATCATACCAGGCCTTCCTGGCAACTAAAACATAACCAACCAACCAACCGGTTGCTGTCAAGTTGACTCTGACTCATGGCAACCTAGTGTGTGTTAGAGTAGAATTGTGCTCCAGTGGGTTTTCAGTGGCTGGTTTTTTGGAAGAAGCAGCATATTAGGTGTGTGATAGATGCCATTTATCAACATGTGACAGCAGCAAGAAGTGACAATCTCAGAATGAAAGGTATAAACTATCTATAATAGGAAAAATATGAATATAAAGATTCAAGCCTCTGATTTTCCTCAGTCCAGAAGAGGAAAATAGGTCTGTGTGTCCTGGGCTTTTGTTGTTTAGAAATAGGATAATAAATGAGAGAGTAAAAAATCAAGGTAAGAGAAATGGAGGTAAATACTAACCAGATGACACTTGACACGAGTCCGTGAGGTTCTGAGAGGTGGTGAGGCACACAAGACTTAATTAAGCTTAAGTTTTGCTGTGGATTGTGAACATATTTCTCCTTTGTCATTTTAAAAGATTTTGATTTTTAAACAATTACAGATACACAGGAAGTTGCAAAGATAGTTCAGAGAGGTCCCATGTACCCTTTCCTTTACTGTTTTTGTTTGCTTTTGTCTGTATGAGAGGTGACTCTAAAGGATTAAATTGTTTTTCAATCATGTTTGGGTATTAGATTTGTGTTTCCTCTGACTGTGACAGACCATGTAAAGATTTAGCACTTTATATGTCATATTACAAATAAAAAAATACATTAACTTAAAAAACAGCGTATCAGTCTAAATATATATTTAATGTACCTAAAGTCCTAAAAAACCTAAACAGATTCTAAGAAAATCTTTTTACTGCCATATACAATCATTGATGTTAATAATTATGGTCATATATCATGTGAAAAAAAGATTTGTGATCTCTGTTTAAGGGGTCAAAAAGTATGAAATAAATCTATGGAGTCTATAGCTCAAAATAGGAAATGCCCCAAACGTCCATCAATAGTGACTCAGTTAAATAAATTATGGTACATTTATCAATGGAAGAGTATGCACACATTGAAAAGGATGAGGTATTTTCAACATATAATTTGAATCCACCACGTTTCTCCATCTCCTCTGCTACCAGCCTGTTCCAGGGTAGTATCATCTCTCGTCTAGTCCACTGTGGTGGTCTGGTCTCCTAACTGATCTTCCTGTTTTCACTCTTCCACTACCACTACCAGAAGACAAAGTGATCGTTTAAAATCATAAATCAGACTTGTCATGTCCCTGCTTAAAACTTTTGATTGTTTTGAACTTAGAATAAAATTGATAGTTTTTAACGTGGCTGCAATTCCCTCTATGATCTGGCTCCTACCTCTTTCTTTGCCATATCGTAAGCAATTTCCCCCTCATTCACCCTGCTCCAATCTATCCTGCTTTCTTTCTGTCCCCTAGACATGCCAAGCTCATCCTTGACTCAGTATCTTTGCATTTGGTCTTCCCTCTTCCTATAATGCTTTTCCTTCTGATTTTCCCATGGCTAATTCCTTCCTTTCGTGCAGATCTCAAATGCCACCTTGGAGAGACCTTCCCTGGTCAGCATATATATACAAAGTTGCCCCACATCCCACAATAGTTCTCTAGCACTCTATTTTATTTTACTAATAACACTTCGATCAATGTATTTGCTTACTTGTTTATTATGTCTCTGCACTGGAATAGTGTCTTCATTAGAGTAGGGAACCTGTCTATCTTGTTAATGTCTGTAACCAGAACATTTTTGAAGAGTTCCTGGTACATAATAGATGCTCAATTAATATTTATGTATGCATAGAAATCATGTTTGAAAGGATATATACCAAACAATAACAGTGGTTACCTCTGAGTGGGAAATTGTTGTTGTTAGTTGTCACCAAGTTGATGCTGACTCACGGCAACCCCATGCGTGTAGAGTAGAACTGCTCCATAGGATTTTTAAGGCTGTGACCTTTTGGAAGCAGACTGCCAGAACTGTTTTCCAAGGCGCCTCTGGGTGGGTTCAAATCACCAACCTTCTGGCTAGTGATGAGTGTGTAAACCATTTGTGCCACCCAGGGACTCCATGAGTGGGGAGTCACATTACCTGTTGCCATCGAATTGATTCAGACTCATAGTGGCCCTATAGGACAGAGTAGAACTGCTCCATAGGGTTTTCAGAGATGTAATCTTCATGGAAGCAGACCACTATATCTTTCTTCTGACGAGGGCTGGTGGTTTCCAACCGCCGACCTGGTTAGCAGCCGAGCTTTTAAGTAGCTGCTTGAGTAGGAAGAAAGAGAAATAAAATTATGACTTGACTTTCACTTTCTACCAAGATATGTTTCAGTTAGTCTTAAATTATTTGAAATAAAACGCATTACTTTAATTATCAGAAAAATTAATACATATTTTCAATTACAAAAAAAGGTTGATAGAAAGTTTTGATGCATAAAATAAGCCTTGTTTGTCTGGAAGATGTATTTATATGGAATACTTTATCCTTTGGAGATATTAGATAAGTAATGTGTTACTATATATAGTAAAATATCTATGATTTTGTAAAAGCACTGAAACATGAAGCAGCAGAAACATTTCACCAGTTTTCTTTCCTTTAAACTTGACAGCTGTATCTCTTTGGTAAATCATTTAAGTTGATTTCTTCTCACAAATGTAACAGATCGAATTATTAGTGCAATAAATAATTTATGTTTAAAAATACTATATTTTACATCTTTAATGGATATATTCATCCTGAACAGGTTTATTCGTTCTTTTTTTAGGCATACTACACTTGTAATATTAGCTGTTGTCCCCAGGTTCAAATGTTAAATCAACATTTGTCTGAGAGACCTTCAACTTATCAAGTATTGCAGGTCTTTGATTGTTCTGGAACTTCTTCTGATAGCTGTGGACTTAGTTCAAGGCCAGTTTATACCACTTTTTTTTTTTTTTCTCTAATAGGATGAATAAATGGTTAATTGTTTGCTTTGGTCACTCAAGTTCAAGTTAATGGATCAGGGTTCTATATAAAAACTGTAGCTGGAGTACCTGTTCAGCAACATTCTTACCTTTCTCATCATAGATTCTCCTCCCCAGGAGTTTTACACTAAATATTCAAAATGATGACAATATCTTTGATCTGGGGGATTGTTATAGTAGTGTGCTATTGCTTGTGGCTTATTCTTGGAATAAGGAGAAGGTAAGGAAAGTTTTATCTTTAAATTGTCTTTTAGTTCATTCATTTAATGTTCTTTTACTTTCACTATTATATAATAAATTTGGTTTTCTATATTTAGAAACATTTGCATTTTCTTTTTTAAATTTTTAAAGTGATTTTTTTTTTATAGCTAACAAAAGATATAATCACAGTATTTCCCTTTTTAGTATTGACACATACCAACGGTAATGCATAAATGTATAACATGACTCACAGAAACCTTGTAAGATCTCTGTGTGTGTTTATGTGTGTATATAAAGAAGAAGTCTGAATTAGTAAGGATGCAAGTGGCAAGTGGGAATCTGCAATGGAAAGGGTTTCTTTTTAGTATGTGGATAAAATAGATGCTCTGACTCATTAAATATTTTATTTTCAGCTAGTTCTTGTATTTTATATAGACTCAGTCCAAGTTTGGACCAACTATATAGCCTGTGTTGATTATTCTAGTACTGTTTTCTTATTAATGTTAACCAAACTTGGTGAACTGGGACAATTTTCTAAGTGTATGTGACATCAATTTTGTTTCATTTATTTATAGTTGGTTCAAGAATACAAGAAATACAAATAAAGTCAGAGTTGGAGCCATAGTTTATTTAACTTTGGATTGCCACAAAGAGTATTTTTTGGTGGGAGGGGGCAGATATCTTCTGTTACATCATTCTTAGAAAAAGAAGAACAACTCCCAGCGTATCTTCAGCTATGTAGATTGTTATGTATTGTCTACCATTTTGTCGTTTCATGTATTTTATTTCAGGCTTAATATCTTCTATTTTTAATTAGGCTAGTTATCCTCAAACTGAGAAATGGAAAAGAATTATTCTACCTTATGACTATCAAGAAAGACACTTGGTTATGGTAGAAAATAAAGAATTTCGTATTTTCTAACATAAACATTTAAAATAGCATGAAAGAGCATTGAATTACAATTGATGATTCTATCAATACTTACCTTACTCAATTTTGTTTTTTAAAAAGCTGATTTCTCAGATGAGATTCTCCTTCTCTTCAACTGTCATTACAGAATATAATCTTTAAGCTATGATGATTTTGAAAACTTCAATTCTGCATTCCTCTGTGTTATACATTATTCTATATCTTTAGAGAAAAAAATCAAATTAAACTTTTTGAATTACTGGGGAAGTGACGCTTTGAAAAACTATGAACAGTAGGCTGTAGGTTCATGTCTACACTGAGAGCAAGAATCTTGTTGGTCTTGATGACTTTTGTATCTTCATCATCAGGAAAAGTGACTAGCACCTAGTAGGCATTCAATAATTGTTTGTAGAATGCATAGATGGATGGATGAATTTAGTCACCATTTTCATCAACCTATCATGTAACTTTGTTGATATAATTCATTATTTTAGTAAAACAGTTAGGCACCATCAACAAAAGAAGCACCTATAAACCGTAAAGTAAATAAAAAACCAAATGTATAGTTTTCCATACCTATCGTATATTTGTGTTTTATAGGCAAATGGGTGAACCACCTCTAGAGAATGGGTTGATTCCATACCTGGGCTGTGCTCTGCAATTTGGTGCCAATCCTCTTGAGTTCCTCAGAGCAAATCAAAAGAAACATGGTCATGTTTTTACCTGTAAACTAATGGGAAACTATGTCCATTTCATCACAAATCCGATGTCATACCATAAGGTGTTATGCCACGGAAAACACTTTGACTGGAGAAAATTTCATTTCAGTACTTCTGCAAAGGTAATCTGTGTTGCATGTATACAGCATTCTGTTTGTTTCCTATCTTTTTTATATAAAAAAATATAAATCTATTTAGTAGTTTTGATATATTTAGATTTAAGGATAGAAATGTTCAAGATTGTTACCCTTATCTGGAGCTTCTTAGAAATACAGTAAGTCAAATTAGACATTGCCTCTTGGTACTAATCATTAAAAAAGTCAAAATAGATTTTCGACAGACACATGATAGATTTTTCATTTCTTAACCAGCCAATGGGGGTAAAATTAAAAATTAAACACCTTACAGAGCCAGATGGTGCTGTACTGTATGAGTAAGACAGATACCATCTCACTTAGGTCAACCATGTCTACACCAACCCCACAGTGCGTGTAGTGAAAAACTTAGGCATTCAATAATTATTCTACCATACTCATGCCACACAATCATTTAATTTTGTTGAAGAAATGACCAAGTATTATGGCATCATGTAGACGTAACTGAAGAGGCTCTGCTACGGAGAAAACAGTTAACCAATATTTATTGAGTTTCTGCAAAGAAATATTAGACATGGTCTGTGCCACTGAGTAGCTTAAAGTCTGGCTAAAATACATCTACAAAGAATATACAGGAGAACTAATGACACAAAACATTGTGAATTAGTACCAAATTAGGGTGTAATCAAGAAGAAATAGACAATCATGGTAGTCTAGAGAAGTTTTGCTGGAGAGCTGGGATTCAAACTGGGCCTTGAAGGAAGGGTATGATTTAGCCATTTACTTAAAAACTACTATGAAATTGTACATGAGAAGGCCAATTTACCTTTATTTAACAAGTAGAGAATTATGAAAGTATCTAATCTGTTTTTCGACCATTTCCTAGTGTTGCGTCTGTTTTAATTCTTTTTTCACATGTTTTATTTACTGCAGGTATTTGGGCATAGAAGTGTTGACCCAAGTGATGGACATACCACTGAAAACATAAACAAGACTTTCATCAAAACCCTGCAGGGTATTGCTTTGAATTCCCTCACAGAAGCCATGATGGAAAACCTCCATCTTCTCCTGAGACCTTCGGTCCTCCCCAAACCAAACATGGCTGCCTGGGTGACAGAAGGTATGTATTCCTTCTGCTACCGAGTGATGTTTGAAGCTGGGTATTTAACTCTCTTTGGCAAGGATCTCACAAGGCAAGACTCACAGAGAGTGCTTATGCTAAGTAACCTTGACAACTTCAAGAAGTTTGACAAGATCTTTCCGGCCCTGGTAGCCGGCCTGCCCATTCACATGTTCAAGACAGCCTACCACGCCCGGGAGAAGTTGGCTGAGGGCTTGAGGCACGAGAACCTCCGCAGGCGAGACGGCGTCTCCCACCTGGTCAGCCTGCGCATGCTACTCAACGACCAGCTCTCCACCTTCGATGACATGGAGAAAGCCAAGACGCATCTCGTCGTGCTCTGGGCATCTCAAGCAAACACCATTCCAGCAACTTTCTGGAGCTTATTTCAAATGATTAGGTAACTAGCAGCTTATTTATTTGCTTATTTTGGTAGAAAGCAGAAATTTCACCATTTTAACCTAAAAAAAAAAAAAAAAGGCACGTGGTACCTTTTCATGCCATCCATCAAGAATGTAATGTTGACACTTGCAAGTGATAAACATGTATCAACACATTCATCCCCACAAGGTTGTGAGCAGGTCTGACTGGTAAGCCTGGTTCATAGCAGCAGAGCAGTCCCAGGAAAAGGAATGGACCCGACTCCATAGGGCTCGGCTGTACTGGTGCTGGAGTCAACTCAGGCCATGTGGTCCAGCACCTTAGCTCTTAAGCGCACAATTCCTCATGACTACTGACTTAAGTTCATGAACAATCTTCATAATTGTAACATGTATTTACATGATCATTTCCTTATGGACAGCAATCAGCACAATGCCTCTACCTTATTCCTTTGCGCATTCACCGTTTGTTTTTTTCCGTTTTTCCCACTCAGTTAGTAAATGTTGTCTCACTGTTAACCAACTGTGATATCTATTGGTCAATCATAGCCTGTTATTATTGATAAGAGACTTGGCTAGTGTGTTAGTTATCTAGTGCTGCTGTAACAGAAATACCACAAGTGGAGCTTTAAAAAAGAGAAGTTTATTCTCTCACAGTCCACTAGGCTAGAAGTCTGAATTCAGGGCGCCGGCTCCAGGGGAAGGCTTTCTCTCTCTCTGTGGGCCCTCTCATCAGTCTTCCCCCAGACTAGGAGCTTCTCCGCACAGGGACCCCGAGTCCAAAGGATGTACTCTGCTCCTGGCACTGCTTTCTTGGTGGTAGGAGGTTCCCCTGGGTCTCTACTCACCTGTCTCTTTTATATCTCAAAAGAGATTGGCTTAAGACAGTATCTAATCTTGTAGATCTCATCAATATAACTGCTGCTAATCCATTTTATTACATCATAGTGATAGAATTTACAACACATAGGGAAATCACATCAGATGATAAAATGGTAGACAGTCATACCATACTGGGAATTATGACCTTGACAAGTTGACAGATATTTTTGGGAGAACACAATTCAATCCATGACAGCTAGATTTTGCCTTTTAAAACTGTATAGAACATATTTCCAAAGACTGGTTGGTGGATTCCAACTGCTGACCTTTTGGTTAGCAACTGTAGCTCTTAACCACTGTGCCTCCAGGGCTCCATATTTTACTTAATATGATTTATTTCCAAATTGTTAACCTTTTGAGAAATTGTTGTTCGAGAGGATCATTAAATTATTGCAGTCAAATTGGATGTTTAATATCACGTAGGTAGGCATAAAGTCACTATTCCATTGAATTGGGCATGCCAAATTTCCATTGATGGCTGGTAATTCAATGACTTCAATATGAAAATATTTTAAAACTTAATTTTAGAAATAAAAACCCATCACTAGTTAGTCTCAAATGTTAAATGTCTTCCAAAGTTATTACTTGGGATAGCCCTGTCCGGAATAAATTCACATATTTATAGTAGGGTTACTTGATCAATTTAATACCATATAGGTAATAGTAGCCATACTTTATGGTAGTCACACAAATACTTTTCAGTCCAACATTAGTGAAACTCAGTGTATTGTAATTAAGTAATATAGATCCATACCACAGCTCTGATGCTCCAATGAACTTTAATGCCCTAAAATGAAGTAGCCTTAATTTCGCAATTCAAAGTGCTGTAACAATAAATTGCAATATAAATGAAATCATGGAATAAATTTTAAGAGTAAATTTAATTTATCCATTTGGAGTTCAGCTAGGTACTTTATCATTTTTATCTTAGATATAATTTTTCCTTCTAAATTACTATGCGTTTGACCAATTTGACCCTTCAGTCCTTATTAAAATCATGTATTTATAAAAGTCTGGCCACAGTTTTCTTTTATATAGAAAGGACCATTTAAGGCAATAGTTCTTGCCAATATCCAAGCACAATTATAAGAGAGAGTCAAAAGTAGATGAGAATATCCTTTTCCCACCTTCTCTTGTATCTGTTGTTGTTAGTTGCCATTGAATCAGCTCTAACTCATGGTGACCTTATGTATAACAGAACAAAATGTTACCCGGTCCTGTGCCATCTTCATGGTCATTGATATAACACCTAGTTAAAAGAAGAGGGAAAATGCCTATTTGCAGATCTGTTGGTATATCTGTACATCTTTCTTTTCTCTTAACTTTTAACAGGAGTCCTGAAGCAATGAAAGCAGCTACTGATGAAGTGAATAGAACATTAGAGAATGCTGGTCAAAAAATCAGCTTTGAAGGCAATCCCATATGCTTAAACCAAATGCAACTGAATGACATGCCAGTCCTAGGTGTGCTTGCTATGCTTGCCTTTCATTTCCCCTATACCACTACTAACAGCCCTCGTCAGTAGGTACTAAGTCCTTAATAAGTTCTAGGCATTATGCTAAGTATTTCAAATATGTATTGTCTTGTTTAATTCTCACAACAATCTTATGATAAGGGACTATTATTGTTTCTGTATTACAAGTGAGTAAACTGGTACTTAGAGGTTCAGTTACTGCCCAAAGTCAAGTGGTACAAATTACAGCCTTAATGTATGACTCTCAATCTACACTGTCATCCTCTACCATGTGCTACCCTCGTCTGTCTCCATTGTTATTACTCTTACCTGACACTAAAGTTATGGCTAATGGTAGCATATTATCAATTTTAATAAAATAAAGGGAGAAAAAGTACCATCAAGGAACCACAATTAGCTTCAGTTATCTCTGGTTGATGGGATTGAGGGTTATTTTATTTTTCTTCTTTTTGCTTTTCTATATTATATAGAACCACAGAAGAACTGTGTTTTTATAGTAAGAAAGTGTTTTGGTTTTTTGTTTTTTTTTTTCTCTAAAGGAAAGAAACCACTCTATGTTTTCAGGGGCAGGGTCTTAGTGGAACGGACTTGGAGGCAAGAAACTTAAGCTGCATGGCAACTCTGCCCCTAACAAGGGAGACCTCAAATGTGTCACTTCTCTTTTGGGGACCTTACTTTTCTCGCTTGTAAAGTGAAGTGCTAACATTCTCTGGGTTTATACAGGATCACGTGATGAGCACCAAAAACAGAATTGTTAAAAAGATAAAATACTGAAACATCAGGCTGAATCTTCTCATTTGCTCTGTATATATTGAACTATTATTCACAGGGTAGTTCTTTTTGTCCCTGTACTATATTTTTATGCAAACAACACACATATTATACGTTTTTTGCCAACTGTACAACCCCCTCGCTATTATCGTAAGTGAGCTATGACATGCATTATATGTGTGGGAGTATTATTTGTGAAAATACGTTATATCTTTGCTCAGGCAGAAGGACATTACCATACAATATCAGATAGTGTATTGATAAAATGTGCTCTTCTAAACATTGAATTGAAGTTGTGTTAAACACCTGGAAAAACCTTTTTATATAAATATGTTATCAGCATATTTAATCTCAAAAGTGATAAACTTTGAATAATTCATATATAAATGATATATTGATTTTTTCAATTTTATTAGTTGTTTATTTTCATGTAGAAGTATGATTACTTTTTCATAAAATTATGAACATCTAACTCCCATTGATGACCAAGAATATTATATCTTTATCAAAAAATTACTATTAGCTCATATTATTGGATTGAAAAACACATTTCAACACGACTGAATAATTAACTGATAACAGTATAGCAATAACTGAAAAAAGTTTGGGAAATTTTTATCCAGCCACTTTCCGTGGTCTGTTCATCTTTGTGTTCTAGGCTATTAGAAGTATATCTGACTCCATATTATGTGGTCTTTAAATACTTGATTTGTTCTTCCTTTTTTCCTTCCTTCACTCCCTTCCTCCTTCTCCCTCCCTCCTTCTCTCCTTTTCTACCTTCCTTCATGTCTTTTAAAATATTTAGATAGCATCATCAAAGAGTCTCTGAGGCTCTCCAGTGCTTCCCTGAACGTCCGGGCTGTGAAGGAGGATTTCACTTTGCACATAGAGGATGGTTCCTTCAACATCCGCAAAGATGACTTCATAGCTTTTTATCCTCAGTTGGTGCACTTAGATCCCAGAATCTATCCAGACCCTTTGGTAAGTGGTTGTTCTTCAGAGTCCAGTGTCCTGGTGATGTCTACCCAGATCTAAATGAAGAGGAAATTTACCAGTCATTTGAGCATTGTGGCCAGAGGGATTGTCCCCTTAATTATGTCAGATATTCATATATTTTGGAAGATGTGGATAATGGCCTGAATTTTTATCCCTATTTGTCATCATATAATCTCTGCTAGATTATACTTGTAATCATGATAATAAAGCTGCCGCTTTTCTTTTTCCTTAAACATTACCTGCTCCCAAATCCAGAATATTGGATAACATACTGACTCATCTAGTTTCTGATCTGAATCTTCTTCCTAATTCTGCCTAACTAAAGAACTAGTCTCCAAGACAGGGCAGAGGGTATCATAAAATTTTCCCATTCCTTTAGTTCTCATTAAACTCCCATTCTTTATTACTTTATGATCCACAATGGGGTGTTTACTAAATTACTAATGAATTAGATTAAAAAATAAAGTTACTGTCAGCATTCCCAGGTCAAGAAAGAGATGCATTCCTTTAAAATTATCTTATGGGTTTGTTTTCTTTGTATTTTTATTGCAGACTTTTAAATATGATCGATATCTTGATGAAAATGGGAAAGCAAAGACCAACTTCTGTTGTAATGGACTCAAGTTGAAATACTACTACATGCCCTTTGGATCAGGAGCTACAATATGTCCTGGGCGATTATTTGCTGTTCATGAAATTAAGCTATTTTTGATTCTGATGCTTTCTTATTTTGAACTAGAGCTTGTGGACAGTCATGTTAAATGTCCTCCTTTGGACCAGTCCCGTGCAGGCTTGGGCATTTTACCACCATTGAATGATATTGAGTTTAAATATAAATTCAAATATTTGTGAATCTATGGTTGCAAAAAGAGGCCACTAGAAGATGTTGCGGGACCGCAGAACACCACCACTTAACAGTCCCTCTGGACAAATGCATTTAGTGAAACTACTCGGCAGATCCAATGCTGTTTACCAAAGCTTGCTTGTGAATCATAACGTTTTGGTGACGGTTTCTAGATCTCAGAATCTCAATCTGTGCTACTGAAAAGAACTAGTCTCTAAAAGCACAATAATTTGTTTTCCTTTGAATAAGTGAATGAATGTTCATAGCCAGGGACTGAACTTTATCATTTTCACAGGAAAAAAATGTCTTTTTTTCCCCCAGAATGAAGATATTGCAATTGGCAGACTGTTTTTTTTCCTAAGGAAACTGCTGTATTTTAATAAAAACCACCTAACAATTTTGAGAAGGTATAAATTCACGTTTTAGTGAAACTGCACTATTTTTTGACTATATAGTGGGGTTCTTCAGGTGTGAACATATTATTACAAAGAATAGTTTAAAGGAGTATATCTTGTCTTTTAATAAAGAGGAAATATATTTTAGCTTTCTCTGTATCTAGTATTCTGAGCTTTTGAAATGATTATCTCAGTGTCTTTAATACATTAAAGATGGTTTTCATATTTTCCCTTTATGCTTTAATTTATTGTTGCTGGAAACTCTAATGTCTATGACAGGTTTCAACTGTCTTATCTATACTTTGATTTGATTCCATATTAATAAGAAGATTTTTTTAGAGATTAAAAAGGAGTTTTTCTGTTATTACTAAATATATATCAATGAAAAGAATGTTACTTTCATGTGATAATTTGGAGATTATAAACTGGATAAAAATGACCGTTTAAAAGCTTTGATTATATATGCAAACAGTTCATTAGGTACAGCTGGCATTGTGTTTTATTTAAACACTTTCTATCTTTAAATAACTTGTAGTTGAAGGAAAAATAATTTAAGGCAATATGATAGTGCTTAACTATTGTGTACCACAAACCTTTGGTGAAACATTTTAAGTTTTGGGGATACCAGCTATGATATTTTTATTAATATCTCTGTACGTATTTATATATAAATTGTATTTATCATTTTTATATTAAAATATTAAGAAAATATTGTAACATTTAATTTTGAAATGAGTCATCTTTCAGAAATAAAAATATGACTGTGTGTTTTAAATTTTTAAATATTTAGAGTGTTTAAAACATTCATCTACTAGTAAGTAGTAATTTGTACAACAGTTTGTTCATGGGAAAAGCAAAATAATCAGTCACTCTGCATCTCTTCTATACCACATAAGATTTATTTAAAATTTTTAATCTTCTTATTTAATATTATAATGGAATTCTCTTTTAAGAAAGTTATTTTAATATCAAGAAAATTAAACTCATTTTGATGTAGTTCAAGATTAACAAAATTCTGTTTTATAGGAAACTGTTATAAACTAAATTTCTATGTGGTTTCCTAATATATTTTATAACTTGCTGAGTGCATCTGTACATCTTTCTGTATCTTTCTTCTTGGATAGCAGAAGTTGGCAAATTAAAGCCTGTGGACCAAATCTGACCCACCATCTGTTTTTGTACAGCCTGAGAGCTAAGAATGGTTTTTCTATTTTTAAATGGTTGAAAAAATCAGAAGAAGAAGAATATTTCATGACTTGTGCAAATGATATGAAATTCACATTTCCACATTCATAAAAGAAAAACCCGTTGCCATTGAATTGATTCTGACTCACAGTGACCTTATAGGGCAAAGTAGAACTGCCCCATAGGGTTTCCAAGGAGCAGCTGGTGAGTTCAAACTGCCGACCTTTTGGTTAGCAGCTGAGCTCTTAACCACTGCACCATAAGTCAAGTTTTACTGGGACACAGCCAAGCCATTTCTTTATGCATCGCTATGGCTGGTCTTGCCATGCAATGGCAGGTGTGAGTGGCTGCAACAGACACTGTGTAGCAGCAGAACCTAAAATATTTGCATCGGGTTCTTTACAGAAAATGTTTACTGATCCCCCCACTGTATAGCAGGAGCCCTGATGGCACAGTGGTTAAGAGCCTGGCTGTTAACCAGAAGGTCAGCAGTTCAAATCCACCAGCTGCTCCATGGGAACTCTATGAGGCAGCTCTACTCTGTCTTATAGGGTCACTATGGGTCAGAACCAACACGATAACAATAGGTTTGGTTTCTTTGGTTTGATTGTATAGCAATCCCAAAGCCTTTTTTTAACCATAATTTTGTTAACTTTTAAAAAAATGGACTAGCATATAGAACTTTTTCATATTTTTTAAGAGCATATAAGGGAAATACACTTTAAAAGCTACATATAATTTTATTGCAAACAACCTTAACTTAGAATTTTATTTAAGGCTAAATCATTTCATTCAAAAAAGAGATCTTTCTTTGGAAAAAGATATCTAAAATAAGAAACATTATAATAACCTAGTGTAAGATCAAATCGACTTAGAACAGATATTAATAGCTAAATTTATTGGGTTTACTCTGGTCCAGGTCTAGGCTCAACACTCCAGCTGCATCATCTAGTTTAATCTTCCTAAGAGTCCTTTGAGGTTCATATTACTATTACCCCTATTTTACAAAGGAGAAAGAGGGAACTCCAGAAAGGCGAAGTCACTGGCCCAAGTCACAACACAGGCAGCAACAGAGCTGGGTGTATTTGAATCCAGGTTGTTCTGACTCCTGAGCCAGCATGCTTTGCTCTGCCACAAGTCCAGGTGACAGGCTGTCTTGACTCAGGTCATTGGAAAGATGAACCATAGTAAACAAAATCCATGATGTAATTTCTGTCCTAAAATCCTCTGTTTGGGAGCATTGCCAGGTCAGAGGGTGGGGACACTGCAGCTACTATGCTCAGCAGGCCCAGGGACACGAGGAAGGAGGCTGTGGACACTTGCCTTGCAATGACCCTATGGACCTGGAAAGGAGCTACTGTATAATCAAATGCTCATCTTCATACAGGAGGGTGTTTCTCCTATTCACGTATAGCGTGGAGTTGTTAATTGTGCAATCTCATGTCATTCCTCTTAGGATCAGTGTGATACATTTTTGAGGTGGTTGAGATTAAGGCTTCAGCCTCGGTCTCATTAACAGATAACAGAATAGAGTTTCTCATCTTCCCTCCCCACACTACCTTGGTAACACCAACTCAGGGGCCTGACCTAGAAAGTGGCACCAAGCAGCACCACCAGTGCTTCATAGAGCATTGTAGATGATTCAGAGCATCTGGTCTACGCTCTCATTTTAGTTAGAAACTGACATCTAGAGAAGGGAAGCCATTGTTGTTGAAAAGGTTGCACAGGAAGTGACAGGGTGGGCCTGGGACTGGAAGCCCCTGGCTGCACATGGAATGTTCTATCTGCTGAATGGGAGCAGTGCACATTTAACGTTAAGGATTGCCCCCTCTGCAACATATGTATTAGGTTTAACAGAGTCCACAAAGTCACAGCAACAATCTCCGGTGTCCTCAAGTCCATTTGTTAAAAGAACCATTTTTCATCAAAAGTTATCCAGCGATCTGCTGCAAAGTTAATTGAAATATATGATCAACAATTGACAGTTTTATAGCAATTTATCACAGATTAAGAGATCGACATTTTTAAGAATTATAAATGCTGGTGTGAGAGAGTTTATGAGAGAAGGGAGAGATTACAGGTAGAGATATGATTCCCTCCCTACTTGCTATTTTGCAAAATTTCCAACCTTGAGAAAAGCTTAAAGAATATAATGAATACCTGTCTTAGTTTTCTAGTGCTGCTATACGAGAAATATCACAAGTGGGTGCCTTTAACAAACAGAAGTTTATTTTCTCACTGTTGAGGAGGCTAGAAGTGCAAATTCAGGGTGTCGGCTCTAGGGGAAGGCTTTCTCTTTCTATTGGCTCTGGAGGAAGGTCCTTGTCTCTTCTGAGCTTCTGTTCCTGGGCAGTCTTCATATGGCTTGGCATGTGTCTTCCACCATCTCTGCTTCCTTAATCTGCTCCTTTTATATTTTGTAAGAGATTGACTCAAGACACACCCTACGCTAATCCTGTCAAAGACAACCCATTCTCAAATGGGATTATAACCACAGCCACAGAGGTTAGGATTTACAACACCTATTTTGGGGCGACATAATTCAATCCATGCATTCCACCCTTTGGCCCCCCAAATTCATTTCCTTGCCATATGCAAAACACATTCACTTACCACATCACCACAAATGTCTTAAATCAACTACAAATCCAAAATCTCATCTTCTGAATCATTTAAATAAAAAATGGGTGAGACTTTAGGTATATTCTATCCTAGACCAAAATCCCTCTTCATCAGCGAAAGTGTGAAATCTATATTACAAGTTATCTGTTTCCTAAGTACAGTGATAGAACTGGTACAAGATAGAAATTTCTATTACAAATGGGAGAAATTGGAGGGAAAGAAGGGATAACAGGCACCAAGAAAGTCCAAAACCCAGCAGAAGACATTACATTAGCTCTCAAGCCTTGAAAATAATCCTCTGTTCTCTGAGACCATCTAGGCAATGGCCCTGCCCTCCACACAGGGCCACACCCTCTGGATTCTGGGTGGAGGCCCCTAAGCCTTGGGCTTCAGCACCACCTTCCAGGCCCACTGGGACAGCAACTCTGTTCCCTCAGCTTTGGGCAGCACCTTTCTCCTAGTCTGAGTGGTGACTACACCCTTGGCCCTCGCAATCTCTGTTCTTCTGCCCCTTGGGCATGGCAGCCCCGTCCCCTTTACTTTGGGAAGTGGTCCTATCTCCCTGGCACACCTTGATGCCAACTCCACACTCTGGAACCTGTGGCCCCATCCTTGGAAACCCCAGAGGCCATGGGCCCAGCGTTTGAGATCCAGGAGACCACAGCCCCACCCTTTGAAACGGAGAAGACTCTGCTTCCCATGCTCCTTCCAACAGTTCTGCTGATCTCCAAGCTGCTCCAGGGATGGTCCATTTCTTTTCTTGGAGGACAACAGATGTAGCTCCCTTGGCCTGTTTCATGCCTATAGAATTCCAAGAGGCAGACAGCATTCTTTTTCTGTTCCCTTCAGTCTAAGCTGATGTGTTTCTGCTGCGATAGTTGGTTAGATCCATCAGTCACAGGCTTAATCTCTTTAGCTAAAGAGTGTGTAGCCACATCCTTGGTGAACATTCTAAGAATGTGTCCTTAGTTTGTACAACAGAATTTTCCAAACCTTTAAATTCTGTTTTCACTTTACACAGTTCATTTTTAAGTCCATCTCTGTCCTCCCATATTTTACTATAAGTGGCAAGGAGAAACCACACAGCCTTTTTAAGATCTTGCTTAGCAAT